AGAAAACTATAATTTGTTTCCGTATTGAGCATGGTTCGCCCGGCTTGAAAAGTGCTTGAATTTTACAATTTTTTTTTTTTTTTTACTATAGTTATTAGCACAAATGCTGCCTGTAAAGTATTAATGAAATATTTTACTTTAAATAGATTGTTTAGAACGATCGATTTTTTTAAATTACAAAGTTTACCTTCCATCCTTTTGGAAAGTTTGTTGAAGTACTGTAACTCGCGTATGGGAGGTCTCAATTGATTAAATGCGATTGCTTCAAAACCTCTTTATCAACCTTGATCAAAGTAGTTTTATTCGTTCGTTACGAGTTATTTTGAAATTCTCCCACATTGAATGAAACTTCGAAGAGCCATAATAATTCACGACTCGATTCCTCCCTGAACATTATTGGGAATGTTTTTCGTTGAATTCCTGTGTTTTTTATGTCCCTCATTCTGACCTGGTTGATGTTTTACTTTGCTAATTCCTCGTTGTTCCGTGTTTATCTTCTCAGATTCTGGTGGCTTACGTTTACAAGATCAAAACTGGTTTGTGTCCCGTTAGGATGTCCACTTATATCCGACATTTGTGTATCTCTCAATATAATGTTCTTAGACTGAAAATCGAGTCCGTGATTTATCGTTTGGTGCTTATCGCAAGGCTTGGGTTTTAGTGAATAAATTGACCGCTAAATCAGAAATGTGTCTACTATCCGCTATCGCAGAATCACTGGTTCCTTTTGTTTTTTTTTCTCCTCCTCTGCGGAAAGTGCGGGGCAAAAACTGGATGAAGTTAGAATCAAGAAAAAAATGATATCTTTATAATATTAAAATAAAAGCAATAATGAGGAAAGCCAAATAAAAGTTTTTCCACATTCTTTATCTTTCGCTCGCTTTTCGAAGATTGCATCAATATTTCTCTCCGTGTAGATTATCAAAGGGACAAAAGAATCTGAATTGTAAATTATTCCAATCGGCAGAAGTTTCCAAGCTGCTAGCCAGCGGCTGAGTTATGAGACTCGTTTAATTCTGACGTTGCCGAGTGTTTTGCCCGAGAATTCGTCACTCCTCTAACGTAAGGGCGTATCTCAATTTCCACATGAGCCCCCAAAAGCGTGGATTTAAAAGTAAAACAGGGCTCACGTTGAAATTGAGATACGCCCTTACGCCAGAGAAGCGACGCATTTGCCACTCTTACCGAATTTTCCATCCTACCAACCGATCTGGTGGCATCGGTGAGAATTCTTTCGGATCTGATGTATCTGAAGAGAGTCAGTTGATTATCGAATTAGCTTTCTGTCCGTCTCGCTAATGAGTTTCCAATATTTATGATCGACTCTCGGTCGAACGATTGCTTTGAAAGGAATTCGTTGGAATTTTTGTCACGAAATTGGATCAGACGCAGGAGGCTTGGCAGCTCTGTTAACTCAGTTATTTTTATTTTAACTACTCTTCCTATAACGGGGTGTTCACCGCACGGTATAAAAAAACGGGTGCATTTGAAAATCATGGATATGGTCGGTCCGGAAGTACAGAAAACGCACTGATTTCTCGCTGAAAGGAGCGAAGAAACGAGATTTTCGTGGTAAATTTTAAAGTAAAGTCACAAAAGTATGCAGTTTTTCTATGTGACATAACTTGCCCGTTTAATTGCGGCATTTGATTCCTCGTGTTTTAAGTTCATTCCCCATGGAAATCATTTGGTGGAAATCTTCCCTTCTTTAGAATTTAAAGCCGTGTAATTTAGGGAAAAAGTGAAGAAAATACAAAGAAATCGCACGGACTTTAAGAACTATTACAAAGTAAGAGGAATTTTCCAGGATGTGAGGAAAACTCCCCCATACACGGAATAAACATCTTAGTGTTGAGCCCTTACTCTTAGGTAGGTAAAATAGCGCCAACTACAGGCCGTAGTGCTGACCCCTTTAGCTTCCGAGTCCAGCTCTACAGCTTTAGGGTCCGGTCCTACAGCTTTAAGGTCCAGCTCTACAGTCGCTATTCCACCTCAAGTGTAAGGGCTCAGTGATAAGTTGTTTTTCCGTGTGCAGTCCCGAAAATTCGTCATTTTTCGTGAATTTTTCATCCATGAAATCCATAAAAAAATTTTGACCGTACACTGGAAAAAAAAAACACATTGGATCTAGAGTGCAGACTCTTAAAAATATCGACAAGAAAAATTACTCTTGAACCCAATCGGATTTTTGCTTAAATTTAGAACCAAGCCTCTTAATTTGAGCGGATTTCCTTTTGATTTAAGCAAAAATTTGATTGAATCAAGAGTATTTTTTCTTGTCAATGTTTTCAAGAGTCTGGACTCTAGATCCAATGTCTTTTTTTTCCAGTGTAGACACTCTCCTCTCTCCCACGAATAATCTTGACTGCGCCACTGGAACGAGTAGACGCTCTGTATAATATGCTCTAAGGTGCATCATCGCTATTGCGTCATCTGCGCCGAAAGCTCGAAAAAAAAGAGTAATTTTCTCTTTTTTCAATGAGCTTTGAGTGTATCAGAACTCACATGGAGTTGAGACAGTAAGTGGGATTCGTGGTGGGTTTTTCGATCTATCAATCAAGTGAAGCGACCCACCCAGAATCCTTAAACCTCCGAGTCCGGAAGATCTTCGGTTGCGCGATAACTAATAGACCTAATTTCATTAATGATTTTAATATGGTAATCGCTTGCTTTGTTAACAACCAGTTGTCTAATTGAAAATCGGTCCCGGACCATTTGTCTTCGGTGACCAGGTCTTGCACTCATCGTCTCCTTGTCAACTTTGGAATAAATATGCCTTCGAGTCTTCCCAGCGCGACTTTAACTCACCATCTCCAGGGAGGGCTAAGTGAAAGTTCAATTATTTAACTTTCTTTCCATGGTGATTCGTTAAGATCCCATTCCTCGGAGAAAACCCCTTAAAAGTATTATGTTCTCCTAAAACTCACCTTCAAACTGAAAGTAATTTTATCGGGTTTTTATTTCATAAATCGTATTAGCTCAATCGGATAATTTACTAATTGTAAGTGGACCGCGTTTAGTAGAGAGGAACCAAGCCACATCAGCTTTTGCCAAATTTAACTGAGCCTTTCACTTTTTTCAAAGAGAACGTTTGTGCGGATTCCTCTGAATTTTTGAGGAATTTGCTTCGTACTTCGCAGAAAATTCACTGAAATTTGCACAAAAATCCGCCCAACCGGTTTCATGTAAAAATTGAATTGCCTAATTGAATTTGGCACTAGCTAATGTGGCTTGGTTCCTTTCTTCTTAAGGTGGTCCAAGTAAATGCGACTCCGCGTCTATGAGTTAAGCCAAGTTTTTCATCAACTGATGAATCATTCATACAAAAATTTTTCGATTTGAAATGGCCAGCCGATGGAAGTATATTTGTTCTTATTTTGATTCTTTCCAATCCGTATCATTTATGTTCGCCATGAACCCCCGGAAAACCTGTTCCGGGCGTCGCCATGGGAACTGAGAGATTTTTGACCCGATAGGTGCCTTAAAAAACCGACAAGCGGGTTCGTCCTCTCCTTTTTAGGAAGCGTGTTTTTGTTTTGACCACGAGTCGAGGAAGGAAAATTGGAATGATTGAGCGGTGATGACCGAGCTCTCCTGATTTTTGGCCTTCATCTTCTCGGTAATAGAACGAGCTTTTTTTTCATCAGTGTGTGGTTAGGATCTCTTAGGGCGTATCAAATTAAGTTGCAAAATTCATCGTTTTGTAAATCCGAATTCGGACCTCAGAGAAGCAATTTGGATAGCCAACTAGGGCCTAAGTTATTTCCCCGGAAGGTTCTCAGTGACCTCTAAATCCTAGCCTTGGAAGAAAACCTAAGATACCTCAGGGAAATCCGTGAAAAAGTGAAAAAAATTTTCACCAGAGACAATACATTTCTGAGATTCCACTCTAGCACTCAAAGCAATCGAGTGAGGCAAATATTAAGTTCTGAAGTCAATGCTCCTTTTCGTCAATGGTGATCGATCAGCAACTTGTTGAGTATAAAATTCGCCTAATGATGACGGATGAATGTCGGGATTAGCACGTTTTTAGGCGATCTTTTGTGCATTAGATTACGATTGCTTAATCCAGCGCTCAACTCTTTGCTCATCAGTCATCAAAAAGCGAATCTAAGCGTTAACTCCCGGAAGTAACTTTTGCGCTCTGGGGAAGATAGCAGCTCGGGGTCTCTTTAATACATTGTCTCCGGTTCTTACTAAAGATGAAATTTAATACAAAACTCAGCAAGGAAAAAATCAAAATTCATAAAACGATTGTTCTGAAAGGTCTTAAATCTTAGAGACCTCCGGCGAAATTGTAAAGACGCAAGTGCTCACTCTCGTGTATCATAGTCGCAAACTCATCTTCTGTTACTTGGTGTGTAGGCTCGAAAAATAATCCTGGAAAATATCCTCAGCGTCTCACGAAAAGGACATCATTCAAGCTCATCAGATGCAACCAACGCAGGACTTCTCCATCTAAGTTGTTGCCGTCGTTAGTTACAAGAAACAAACCGTTCCAAGTTCCTTCGGATGATAACGTGTGAAGTAATAAAAAAGTGTATTAAAGTGAACAATCCTATAGAGTGAAAAGTTGACTTTTATGAACGCATAAAACACTCAAGTGTTCGCCGTGTGAACTGTCGCGATGGTAATGCCTGAAAAACTACGATTTGAATTTACAATTTTTCGGTAGTGCATCGTTCTCTTTTGCAAAGCCGCCAAGTTGGAGCGTTGCAAGCGGAAGACTTCTGGAATTTGGAAATCCTGCAGAAAATTGACCAGCGGTCACTCAATGACCGCGGACTTAAATTGAAACTGGAACATTTCGGCGGTGCATCTTCGCATATTTACGAATTTCCCAAATCACATAGCAAGCGGAAGACTTCCACGAGAAGTAAATTAACCGGTGGTTACAGTCGCTCACTCGATGAACGCGAACTTGATCTGAACTGCTGCCCGGTCGAAGTGTAGCAGAAGATTGACCAACGGTCAGTGTTCCCTCTGATGACCGCAGCGAACCAGAAGTAGCCAGGATGGGTCCGACGCTGAACCCGGTGTGCTACCGGCCGCCACCGCTGCCGTCGAAGAAGCCGCCCCGGACGGTGGCGCTGGTGAACCCGATCATCGCGGAGCCGCCCAAGATCAACTTCAACAAGGCGGCCCTCTTCGGGGACCGGGATCGGAACAAGGACACGTTCGGGCGCATGTCGTCCACCTACCACTCCTTCCGGGACCCCCTCGAGGAGTCGGAGATCGTCATCATCGCCGCGGCCTCGGAGCCGACGCCGACGACGACGCGGAAGAAGAAGGAGAAGAAGAGTCGCAACAAATCGACGACCGGCTTCGAGCAGGGCTCCAGTGGCGGGTCCCTGAGCCGGGCTTTCGGGAGCGGGCGCTTCACGCGACGGGCGTCCCTGCTGACCCGCTCCCACTCGGACGGGAACTTGAACAAGAACTTCTGCAAGGATCTCGACTGCCCCGGGGAGTTCTACGGGGATCAGAGTAATCTCACCAAGGCGCTCAAAGCCCTCAACGGAAGCTGGAAAAATCTTCTGAATCGTGAGTACTTTTTTTTCTCTCTCTCTTTCTCTTTTCATCATCGAGGCCTCCAAGCAGGGGACGCCCGGAAAAAGGGTGGTGACAGAGGCAGGGTGTCTACAAGTCCGGAATTTCCGGAAAGTCCTGAAATAGTACTGATATTTCAAGGGCGGTCCGGAAGTACTGAAAAGGTGCGGAAATTCCGGGAAAAGATCCGGATTTTTTAATTTTTTGTAATTTTTGTCGCAATTTCAAATTTTTGAAATTTTTCGAATCTCGTCAAACAGAGGTATTGAAAAAGTGCGGAATTTTTCTGTTGGAGGAGGTACTGAATTTCTTGATGAGGTACTGAAAAAGTACTGTAAAAGTACTTATTTTTGATCAGCCTGTTTTAGTAGACACCCTGCAGAGGGTTTTAAATGAACTGAGGGATTGCCAACGCTCTAACGGGTTGTAGGAGGACCGAGTTTTGTGGCGGTTAGGCGTCGCAGAGCGCCAAAGAGCGCTATGAAAGCAACTCTTATGTATGTGCCGGAGTCCGGAAGTTCCGGGTGAGGCACCCGGAGCAATCGAAGCTACGGCTCCAACACTCGGAAGTTTCGGCCTTTGAGCCCGGAACGGACGGTATGTCTATCCAGACCGTAACTTTTCTTTTCAGTGTATGACAGTGGCGTGGCGTGCTTTGCGATGTATCGATTGTTGTGCCATTTAAACCTATGGAAAAGGATCGATAAACAGGGTGTTCGCAGCGAACACCTTAATAATCGATTCTTTACCATAGGTTTAAATGGCAGAACAATCGATACATCGCAATTCACGCCACGCCACTGGTGTATGACATCTCCGCACTGGTTTTGAAACAAAGGTGTCGAAGGAGGCACCCGCAAAGCGAGCGGCGATCTCCCCGGTTCTCTTTTCTCGCTCTGTTTTTGCTGGTGCATTTCTGCCGTGCTAAGGAAGAACGCCGCATGATCATTTAAGAGTTGCCAAATCTCCTTTCATTAAATGTTTATTTTTTAGGAAAATTGTAAATATTTTGCTTTGGAATTTTCAGACTTTTTACATCAAGTTATAAACAAAATTAACTGAGAAATTCGCAGGAAAAAAAATCAAAAATTTTCCTGGAAATTAGTGATTTGCCTGATAAAATCTGGCAACGCCTGAAGGCTCATACGGCGTTTTTCCTCGGCACGGCAGATTGCAGTCGGAAGAAACTCGGTTCGTCAGGGTGGCTCTCAAGTGCACCCAGCAACTCCTGCTCCTGCCCACTTGAAACTTTGAAAAGCCCGACGATTGTTCGTCGTTGAGCAAGCGAGTCGTAGAGGACAAGTTTTTATTGTCCTTTGTTCTCGGGCTTTTTCTCATTAAAACATGATCGCAATTGTTTTTAGTTTTGCCTCCGTTATTTCGCAACGGCGCTCGAAAGAAATCAGTCAATCATGGGCCTCCATTCAAGCGCGGCAGTCTTATCGTCCGCGAACCGGCACACTCCATCCTGTCTGTTTGTGTGCACTTACCTCCTCTTTTTTTGAAAGCAACCGGTGTCGTATGCAACGTGCAAAATTATGCTGTACACGGAGCAAAATACTGAGATTGTGTCACTAAGGGTGTGTACATTTCTGAGAAACAAGAAATTGGCAGGGAATTCAGGGGAAAATCGGAGAATTTTATGAAAAAGATAGAAATTGGAAAAATCTTAAAGCTTGAAGTTTGAGAGAACATCAGCACTGTTTGGTCAGTCAATACTCCCATTATTGAAAGCAAGTTATCATGACTCTGGTTTGCGGTGAAATTATTGCTAAAAATAGTCTTTCCCAGTTCAAAATGTGTATATTTGGTCCTAAAAGACAGGGAATTTTGATAATTTTGGTTAGGAAAAATCTGGAAAAGTCAAGAAATTTATTCCCGCCGAATCTGTTGACATCCAAACACCTTGAACTTTGTTGAAATGTAGTATACTCAAGTGTTGAATACATTCACAGATATTAATTTTAGCTTGCGCACGTCCGTTTATATTGTCCCAAAGAATGTGTTTAACCAAAACTATGCGTGAAGTTCATAATGCAACGCTTGACTTGAATGCATTTCAACCTAAGTTCGGGCGAGTAAACCCAAGCTAGGGTGAAATTAAAATGGCGAACAATGTGTCAAGCCGATCTCAATGCCTGGAATTTTTTTAAAATTTTTGTGCTGAAGTGTACAAAGGTACTCAAACATTTTAGTTTACTACAAAAAGTCTCATCTATCGTCTGATTTTTAATTTTTTCCTGACAAAAGCGATAGATGCTGACGATTTTTTGTTTGTGAGAGTTTCTGATCCCGCTCTAATTAGTGTTTGCTTTTCTTTGATGCTATGAAAGATTCAATATTTTTGAGAATGTGGACGCATGATGTTTCCAGGTTCAAAAAACGCTTAAAAAATGCTGGGAGAAAAGTCACGGGTAAATCAGAAAATAAAAGAGACCAATGAGAAGTTAGGGAGTTCATAAGTGTCCTTATCAACTATCATCTGAGGTTACTGCGTTGTTTTCCCATGATTGGAATGAAGTGCCCAAAAATGAGAGTATTTTCAATATACGTACTTATAAGTAATTTATTGTAATACTTACTTGACGTCGATTCCAAATTGATCTACGATCGATTTCTCTGTATCATTTTTACATATCATGAGATGTGCAATGAAAATCGTCAACCACGTTACCGCACGTGACGTGAAACCGAAGCAGTTTATGGCTGAAGTTCCGGAAGCTGTGTTCATTCATAGAAAACAGTGTTGCCGTTTCTCGTCAATATATCGATTTCCATCCCTTTTTTCGTGCTGCTCCCCGCGGATGTGTATTCACAATTTGACAATTGTAAAGGCGTGGGAACCTAAACGGGCTTTGAACATAAATCGGTGACGCGCGTTTTCTTGACGGATGATGACGTCCGAACAAACATATGCGGGCTGTGCAGTATGCACTTAATCATGCCTTCTCGTCGAGAGAAATTTTTTGTGTCTCGCATAGGAAGCAAAAGGGAATACAAATAAATGCTATAGTGAACGATTGAACGGTCCATTTGTTACGGAGCGGATACTATTCAATCATATATTTTCATGGCGGTATCACTCATTTAAATTGGTTCAAAGCAACCCCTTCTTTTTCACTTTTTTGCTCAAAATGAGCGCGCTGTCGAATAGCTCTCGACCTTTTTTTCATTATTTTTTTATTTTCTACTAGAATTCGTCGCTTGGCTGACAAAGGGGCGTAACTACACATTGAGATGAGCCCGGGACAGCATTGAGTTAAATGAACGACAGGGCTCATCGCGAAATGCAGTTACGCCTTTATGCCAGGAGGGCGACGAATTAGGCGATTAAAACCGAATGGTCACCACTTGTGTTGCATTTTGTCAACATTGGCGGATCCAGCGAATTTGCAACATTGTTTTTCTCCATTTAAACCTATGGAAATGTATCGATTCTTGGAAGGGCCAGGTGCTCCGACAAGAATCGATTATTTAACATAGGTTTAAATGGAGGGAATCCTGTGTTGCCAAACTGCTGGATCTGCCTCTGTCTGCCAATTCAGTGGGGACGGCAGAAAATCGTAAGAAAGTAAAAAATGTAATCGATGCATGCTCTATCTGTTTACTGAATTCCAGAAATCTGAATTGTTTAAGACTTACGAATTGAGCTAACAGCTTGTTGTTGGATAAAAGGAACATGAAATAATGGGCCGCACGTACTGAGAATACGCTATTTGCCGCGTCAGTATCTCGTTGTTCCATTCGCTCGTATCTCTGTCGGGATCGGAATCTCTAATAAGTCATCCATTAAGTGTGAAAAGTCATAAATGATTATTGGGAACTTCCGGCAGCAGTGACGCACTGATCAAATTTCAATGCGTCATGCTTGAGGTCCTCGCTATTCAACACGAGGCTTCATTTACCATGTTATCCCTTCCGATCAAGCTTTCGAGATGTGGTTAAAACGTTGCGTTTTTTGTTCTTTTTTATCAACGAAAATTTATTGATAAACTGTCAATATCCAGGGCGATCTAGGGTCAAACGGCCAGACTGCAAGAATGTGTTCTATGGGTCAAAGTTAGACTTTTTTGTTGTATAAAGTTTTTCCTAAAGTGCCCCCAGTCGGAGCTACGGCCCCCTTCAAAATTTCGGAAAGTAAATCGTTTTTCCTGAACTTTGGCGACCGTTGTGAACCAAATCTCATGAAAATTTGTTCTTCTGAACTTTTATGCCGCGATTTCATAAATGATCTAAAAAATTGAGACCTCTATTTAAGGAGGAGGTTCGGGGGTGTTTCGACTGCAGTTTGGCCGTTTACTGGATCACCCTGTATATTCAGAGACAAGTATGATGTATGCCCGAAACAATGCGCAGCACCTCGGAACTTCGAACTTGTTTAACTTCTCTATCACGATATTTTCTGACTTTTTTTTTCTTTCGTATGTTTCAGGTGAGTACAGTTTCAGAGCCTCCTTTGGTTGATTCACTTGTATCATCGCACGTAAGTCTTCATAAAGCAATGCCCCGCATTCCTTTCATTTTTCGGTTAATGGAACTCCCATGGTTTTTTGCTTTGAAAATTATTTTTTTCCAATTTTATTTTCATTTATTTTTAAAAGAAATGTTTAAATAAATTGCGGAGTCGTATAGTAGACGAAGAATGTCAATCGTCATGTTTGAGGAAATTGAGATTTACCGCCCCGTAAATTTTGAACCCCCTCGTAAAACACTGGAAGGCAAACTCGGACCTACTCCCCTCACCTTTAACAGCTTACGAAACACTTGGAAGGCCTTAAAAGAAATAATGCGGACGTATCCGAAATTAGATTTCTCAAAAACGAACTCTCGTAAAGAAATAATTAATTTCAGCTATTTTTTTTTTTCATTTTCTGCAGTAAAACTAAACTGATGGAGATAATATTGTGCGTTCGCAAACACGCATGTGGATTTTGCAGTGCGGTACGAGGGGAGGGGGCGTATGGGGCGTTCTCCGCAGCTTTATTAATTACTGG